GGTCCGAGGAAGAAGCGGGGCCTGACCTGACCGCGGCCTTTCCGCAGCGCCCCGAGGGCCGGCCGGCGGGAGGACCGGGCTTCTCGCTGTGACGTGCCGAGAGGTCCAGCTTGAGGAGCGCGGAGACGGGAGCTCCGAATCTTCAGAACCGGGAGGATTGGGGATCATGGAGGCAGATTGGGCCGAGATACCCGCGAAGAGAGGTGAGAGTTGCGGGGATGTTGGACTGTGTGTGGAGGGGGCCGTTCCTCCCCCGAAAGGAAATGGGCTGCCCCCGGGGAGGTGGCCCTTGGCGGGCGGCTCTGCCAGTCTCCTTTGTCTGGGACATGGCTGGGCTCCTTGCATGCGAATGCAGGGCTTGATGTGGGGGGGCCCCCCTCTCCCCCTGAGCTGGTGCACAGTGGGTCCTGGAAAGCCATCCCAAAATGTTAGCAGCTAAGGCCAGAGCACAGCCTCAATCACTTTTTCTCACACGTTCTTTTCACCGAACTGTCAGTGAGTCTGAGAACGTAGCTTACTTGGCTGGCAAAAAATACCTTCCCACAACTGTTATTTCCCGTGGCACAACAATCGTATTATGTCAGTCGTGCAAATACTGCTGTTTTGCATCGTAGAGAACAGGCGCAGAGGTCGGTAATTGACTAGCCCAGTCTTTCTTGAAGTTTGGTCTGTGACCTCATGTCAGCCCTTTCTAATGGACTCAGAAGAAAATGTTTTCTCCTGACCCATGGCCTGCTCATTAGATTTCTGGAGTGCACCTCAGACTCAACTAGTAGCAATTATTAGGAAGTGGAATCTAGTGATCTACATTTAAAAAAGCTTGCAGGGTGATTTTTGAGAACTGAGCCTATTTTTCATATATTAATTTAATGTACATTAAGCTTAGAAATAAACTGACTTACTCTAATTTCTAGATTAGAGAGTGCCACCTGCCAGTAGGTGTTATGTCCAAGTGGCAACGTTCCTGGACTTTCTCCATGACCCCAGGGTCAGGAGTTGTCTGGGCTGCCTTCAGGTGCAGTATTTGCAGGAGCATCTTTCGTAGAGGGAGGGATTTTTGTCTTGTAAATCTGAATCACAACCTAGATTTAGATCCCACAATTACTGCTTTCTTGCCTGTAGCTACGTCTTCCCAGGATTCTTTCTTTTCCCAAGAGAAGAGCACAGAAAAGGGAGAAGTGGCAGCTCTCCGCCTCACAGCCAGATCCCAGGTGAGTCTTTACTGATTATTGAAATTCCACCTTATTTCTCAGAGTACAGGCGCACCCTTCTTTTTGATGTCAAGTTTGTCTACTAGAGCCCATCTGGAGAGCTGAGTTCTATTCTAAGACTACTCGGGTGGCTAATGGACTCAGTAGAAAATGTTTTCTGCTAACCCATGGCATCTTCTCCATATAGTACTTATTGTCAGTCAACAGGCAGGTAAGGAGCATAATTACCCTTCTTTGCCTATTGTGCTAATTGTTGAGCTTGGTAATTTAGGAAACTATTTTAATATAAAATATGGGGCATATCTTGATCTCCTGTTGATTATTCAGGATTCTTTTGTATTTTAGTTGTAATTCCAGTTTGGTCCTGGGAGCGTGTCTTTGTAGCATCCACTTACTCTGCCACCATTTTTAATCTTCGGGGTATATCTTAAAATTTATGTTTCTGCAGGGGAATCAACATGCACATGACTCTTAGGTAAGAAATTAAGAAAGCACCTTTCTTTAGTGCTGAAGTGAGTTATGAAAATAGTACGTGCCCAAAAGTTCAGAAGAGCACTTGAAAAGGAAAGCCTTTGGAAGGCTTAACTTAAAGAGTTAAAATCCAGCCCTCTAAGATGATGAATGCACAAGTTTAGAAGTGAAACAATTTTCCAATCTGTCTTAACAAGGGCAAATATTAAGAATTGTTTAAGTGGTGGTTGGCCTAGCAGGTTTGGCTCAATGGGTGGAGTGTTGGCCTGCGGACTGAAAGGTCCCAGGTTCAATTTCGATCAAGGGCACATGCCCAGGTTGTGGGCTCAATCCCAGTAGGAGCTGTGCAAGAGGCAGCCAACCAGTGATTCTCTCTCATCATTGATGTTTCTATCTTTGTCTATCCCTCTCCCTTCCTTTCTGAAATAAAGAAAAAAAAAATTTAAGGGGTGGTTGTACTATATGGGTGATTCGTGTATTGGTCTTTCAACGTTTTGTATGTTTGAAATTTTTATTAAAAGAAGTTAGGTAAGAGAAAAGAGCTCTTCATGATGTGTGTGGCATGCCACAACCCACGATTCCTGAATTAGCCTTTTTCTTTGCTACTGTGATTCCAAGTGTAAAAAGTCCATATTGTGCATTGGTACTGTTTGTAAAAGTGACTTCTTGGGGTCCTTATATATATTGGTTTCTCAACTGCCTTACATTAGTATTGAAGACTATTAGTCAAGAAGCTTTAAGTTGCAGATGATAAAAGCTCAACCCAAGCTGATGTAAGGGAAAGGTATTTATTGGCTATCATGACTGAAAAATCCAGGTCTAACTAGAAATAGAGCTCAAGTAATAACATTAGAACCTATTTCCTCCATTTCGCTGACTTCTTTTCTCTCTGTGGGTTTTCCTCTCAAGCAAGTTTTTTTCCTAGTGCTGGCCCCTACCCATGTAGCTTATAGCTTCCCACACTGAAGACCCGAGACAAAGGGCAGCTTCCCTCCTGGTCATTCCAGCAGAAGTCCAGGGGTTAACTCTTTAACAGGTATTAGGCCCATTCTTGGACCAATTTGGGCAGACCTATGGAATATACCTGCACACACACATGGAAGCACACATACCACCCACGAGTCAGAGATACAATTAATCCTACCTGAACTCACTGGCCAGCATAGTAGCCAAGGAAAATCCAAGTACAAGTGCCAGAGGAACACTTTGATGTTAGATTCAAGACTGTTAGAGCCTCGGATAGATTAAACCTTTTATGGAAATTTTTAAAAACTTTTGTCCTTTTTGCATTGCATTAGATGTGGTGTGATGCTTTGCCTGGACTGTGTTTTGTATTTCGTGTATTCAATTTTTTAAAAGTATTAAAGTTTTAATTCTTAGTTGGTTGTAACCAGGTGAACAGCACAGACATATGTAAATGTAAAAGTAATATTACTTCCTCCTCAAATTCAGTCCCCTTCTCCCTACTGAGGGTAACAGTTTGATTTACCAGTATATCTCTCCATATGCTTTTGGTGAACTTGCACTACTATATTCAGACATGTAATGTTTCCTTTGATTTCTCCCACTGCCAGTCCCCAACTTTGGGGTGTTTTTAGGAGTGTTATTGTATAAACAGGTTTTGACTTTTTTTTTTTTTTTTAAGGGAAATTAATTCACCCGGCCAGTGTGGCTCAGTTAGTTGAGTGTTGTCCCATGCACCAGGAGGTCACTGGTTTGATTCCTGGTCAGGACACATGCCTGAGTTGGGGGCTCAATCCCCAGTAGAAAATGAACAGGGGGCAGCCAATCCATGTTTCTATCTCTCTCTCCCTCTCCCTTCTCTCTGAAATCAATAAAAAAAAATTTACTTTTTTTTTAAGGGAAATTAACTCATTCACATTAATATGATTGTATGTTTCAAATTTTTCTTGCCATGTGATTTTTATAGTTCTATTTACTATGCTTTCCTTGTTTCTTTTGTGTGTGTTTCTGCCTTTTGTGCATTGGTTTGCAATTGTGTCCCGATTTTTTTCTTCTAATCGTCTGGAAGTTAATTTTCATTGAGTGTCAATTTAGCTGTGGATATGCAGGCTGTAAGATCTCAGTCATTTTTCCTCAAAATGCCTTGTCTACTTAGAGATTTACATTTTATTTTCCAAGGATGATTGTTGTATGTTTTTAAGTCTCAGATTATTTCCGTTTTTGAAAACTATTTTGAAATAATTTAAGGCTTAAAGAAATGTAAATGGTAGAAAGATTTCTTACATACTAGGGTTAGGGTTAGGATTTACCCTCCATTCATATTCTCCAAAAGTTAACACTTTACCTCACTTTATTCTTATTTTCCAAAATCAGGAAACTAGCATTGATACAGTACTACAACATACTGACCTTAGTTAGACCTCCCAGCTAACCTATTGTTCTTGTCTCTCCCCTCCCCCCCCCTTTAATTTCTGCTTTTATCCTGTAATTCTTTCTGTTTCTTTTAGTTTGTTGTTCTTTCTCTAACTTGACCTGTATGCTTTGCTCATTTATTTACATTATTTTTTAATGAAATGGAAGTGTTTAAAGCTATGAAATCACCTCAGAGTACAGTTTTAGTGATTTGGCATTGGTTTTACATTTTATTATTTTGACATTTGGATGTTTTTTTCAATTATCAGTTTTTGCTCTGTTCTATTTATGCTTGGAATCTATTTAAATTTACTTTGTTACTTTTGCAAATGCTTCATGAATGTTTAAATAGGTGTTTTCTATCCAGTTATGGCATTTGATATATATTTATTTCAATAACCTTGGAATATTATTCACATTCTGTATGGTTTTATTTTAAAAGGCATGTAATGCCTTGGCTGGTATGGCTCAGTTGGTTGGAGTGTCGTCCATGCACCAGAGGTCACGGGTTCATTTCATGGTCAGGGCACATACCTAGGTTGCAGTCAGGGCACGTATAGGAGGCAAGGGATCGATGTGTCTGTAGCACATCATTCATTCATTCTCTCTCTCTCTCTCTCACTCTCTCTCTCTCTCACGCTCTTGCTCTCCCTCCCTCTCTAAAAAGTAAAAATAAACTTCATATTCTTTAAATAAATAAATAAAAAGGATATAATAATACTTATATGTGTTCACCTCCTTACAGTTTTGTATTTTTTTTTTGTCTTATAGAAACTTAATTCTATGGTATTTACACATAAACCTCAGTTCTTTCTGTTCCCTTACTCAATCTGTTGCCATCATTTTTCAGTTACTGCTTTTTGCTTTAAATTAATTCCATGCTTAATTGGATTTGGTGCTCACTGCCAGTCTTTTCATTCCATGACTTCTCCATTCACAGGGTCTGTGTTTCAACTCATCTTCTGATTGGCTAGATTGATTCTTCAGGTTTTTATTGAGGATGCACAAGGAGAGTTATGCAGACAGGCTTTTTTTTCCTCCTCTAGCTGAATTTTGTTTACTTTGCCAAACTGCATCGTCAACTCATTAGTTCATGTTTTATTTTTAACTCTTTATTCCCCAGAAAAGTGATAGTCTCTCAATGGAGAAACTCTCATATTGAACCTAGCAGAGCGTGCATGGCACATAACTGATACCAGTGGCTTTACATAGAATATTCAGACTCTGAATACTATTAGAACACTTGTCATTTATTACTGTCACTTTAGATGTATTCAGTCCCCCTGCACCAGGGCCACCAGAACTGCGGGGGGGTGGGGGGGAAGGGATGCTGTCAAGTGAAAGATGGTGAACAGAAGTATGTTTTGTGTCTTAGGCATCTGTGACATTCAAGGATGTGGCCATGGACCTTACCCCCGAGGAGTGGGGGAAGCTGGATCCTGCACAGAGGGACGTGATGCTGGAGAACTATAGGAACCTGGTCTCGCTTTGTAAGGACGGCTTCTCATTGTGACTCTGCAGTCTGCTTACGGGGACAGCATTCTTTATTGACAGTGAAATAGCTTCACAAAGCCTTCACTTTCCATTCAGGAGTCATAAAGTCTGAATCCTGTTGGACCCAGAGACAATCTATTCCTGTCCTAGGTTCTTGGTGAACTGCCTATGTTTGTTTTGTATTGGGATTTTTTGGATTCAAGTGACAGAAACCTAATTCACACTAGCTTAGGGGGCAGGAAGTCTTCTTTTTTCCCATGGATTAAAAAAAACACCATATTTATTGTAAGTTAAGTAAATTAATCTATTTTTTTAAAGAGATAACATTTTCCTGGGTATCTTCTGGAATTGAGTAACCGTTGATCCTGCCTGATTTTTTTTTTTTTTCAGATGGTTCTGTTTTCGTTTTCCCCTTCCCCCTAAGGTGCAGTGCTTACCCCTAGAGAGGGCAAATTACTTTTTTAAGGTATTCTCTTCTTTGAAGTTTGTGGCCTTACGAATTTTCAACTAAAAGCCCACATTAACAGCTTGTTGATACTGATAAGGGATAAGTACAACCTCACTTTCTAGAAATCTGTCATTTCTAAAGTCTCTCCTCAGCATGTTACTCCCCCAGCTGTGGTGGTCCACTTGAAGTTGTGCTTTTCCTATGCACAGCTCAGGACTCGAAAAGATTGGATGGTATTTGTATATAGATTTTGGTGCTCCTCTATAGTTACTTCTCTATTGGTAGTCCTTTGATAGAACCAAATTGCACTTCCTCAGCAGCAGTAAGACTTTTGCTTTTTACTTGTACTTGATTGCCCCACACCATGATCTGGAAATATCATCAAGGTGAATATGAATACTACAACATATGTTTGCTATACTGTAGCCCAAATGTTCTTGCTCATCTCTGCCTTCAAAATGTGGCTTTTGAAGTTAAATTGGGTTATTTACCTGTCTTTCTACAAAAGAGTTAAATCCATTAGCATATTGATGGGAGGTAGGAAAGATGGGGCGTTTTTTATCTGATTAAGCTTGCTCTTACCTAGGCATTGTGAACCTGGATTAAGTGTGGACTTCATAAATATTTCTGTCTTCCTTCAGTCATAATGCTGGGCCTCATACGTATCCCTACCTTTCCTCCAGGGGTAAATACTTCTCCCAGCTGCACTGGGTTTCCGCCACTTTCCTCAGATAACAGTGTTGGAGCCCATCCCCTGGCGATGAAGGCTTCTGTTAATGAAGAGAGATGGGTTTAGGTAGAGTTTAGGTATTGGATTCCATTCCCCACGTGGGAAAAATCTTGATTCAGGGAATCAAATATATAACCAGGAATTTCTTTCTTTTTTCTTTTTTAAATCATGTGGCTTGGCTTTGACCTACTGGCTTTATTCCTAGGGTCTCCCCATGTGGCAAAGATGGCCTTTTGTAGCTCTAGGGTTATATTATTCTTCCAATTAGAGAGCTAAGGAAAAAAAGGCAGTGCTTCTATCCTAGGAGTTTCAGCAAATAGGGTCACATGTTGGTTAATGAAACAACTACTAGAGCCAGGGAAATAGGTTACTCTGGGCAGTTTTGAGCCTGTGTGTACCTGTGTGTATGTGTGCACACACGTGCACAAGTGCATATATGTGTTTGTATGGATGTGGTAAGAACTATGTTAGCCCCTCCCTAACCTCATGTAATAAATTCCCTAAGAAAGTGGGTTCTAGTAGCTAAAGAAGGAAGAAAGGAAAAGCAGAAGACAAAAATTCTAGTTACCACAGTCACAACGTGTGGTGCTGCCACTGGGGTCCTGTTTTCCCCAGCTCCTTCCCTAAGCTGAGGATTGACATGCAGCGTCTCCCTGGAATTTCCTCAGTGAAGAAAGATAAGTTCTCTTCTCTTTTGACAGGCACGAACACTTGTGTTTTCAAGTGCATAGAAACTCCTTACCAGGCCCAGATTCCTGCAGATATTTTAAGCTTCATGTGGAGGTCCATCTTCCCTCACTCCAGATCTTCCTGTAATTCCCGTCCTCTTTGTAGATCAGGGATCTGGCACTATGCTCTACGATAGATGTTTGCCCATCACAAATAGCTATTAGTAAGTCCCATTTCTTCCTTTTGAGCAGGGCTTCCAGTTTCCAAGCCTGAGAACTACAATTTGGAGAATGGAAAGGAAACATTGATGCTTGAGAGAAAAGTCCCCAGAAGCAGCTATTCAGGTGAGTCAAATAGATGGGAGTCCTCAGAAATAATAGCCCCTCAGGACAGTGAAGAATTGGCATTTTTCGGTGCTTAAGAAAGACTGTATTAGCAGCGCCTACATGCTTCATCCTATAATATAGGACCTATATAATAAAAGCGTAATATGCAAATCGACCAAACAAGGGAACCACCAGTCGGCAGGGGGGCGGAGCCAGCGAGCAGGTGGCACCAGGCCAGCCAAGGCGCATGCCAGTGGGCAGAGGGAGGGGATGGCAATGGGGCCGGGGGTGGGGAGGCAGCAGTGACCAGCGGCGGTATGATGGGGTGCCTGTGCCAGCCAGCGCTGTCCCCTGATCAGCAGCCCAGTCGCCTCCTGCAGAGGGAGGCTGGCAGCAACAGCAGTGGCGAGGTGATGGGGGTGGCGCCTTCCCCTGTTGGCCCAGTTGCCTCCCACAGAGGGAGGCCTGTGGCAGGGCCAGGGTAGCGGGGGAGCGCCATCCCCTGATCTGCCCGCCTGGTCACCTCCCACAGAGGGGTGCACAGGAGCAGGGGGACAGTCTCACACTCCAGGACCCCTCAGGGGATGTCGGGCCTAAACCGGCAGTCAGACATCCCTCTCGCAATCCGGGCTGCTGCATGCACCAATGACCATACTTTTCCTACAGGTGAAAGGCATCTTACTGTTGTATGGGCAGCTACATTTTTTTGCCCTAATTATAAAGAATAGTACATAACATGATCCTTCTGAGGCAGTGGTACCATTTTCCCCATCTTATGGATGGAAAACTGAAGCAGAGAGAAGTTAAGTAATTGGCTTTGTCACACAGTTATTATAAGTGTCAGAATCAGGGCTGACCACAAACCAGAGTCCATGCATGTCATCACTGCATCATCCTGTTTTTTTCAGTGTTAAAGTAGCCTTGCCGGGTTTTAATTTTTAAATCTAAGAGACTGTTCCCAGTATATAGGGTAGGGTCCATAGGCCTGACCAGCGATCAGGTCCATCTGCAGGGTGACCGGCGGGCAGGGCGATCAGGTGGCGGGGGCAGGGGGGCCCCCAGCTGGCGGTCTGGCACCATCTGCTGGCCGGCCCCACCCCCAATTGCCTCCCTCTCAGGGGGCAGTGTGTGTCATAGCCACCAGCCGTTCCGCCTTTCAGTCGATTTGCATATTAGGGTTTTATTATATAGGATATGTAATTTTTTTTAATTAATTTCAGAGAGGAAGGGAGAGGGATAGAAACAGCAATGATGAGAGAGAGTCATTGATCAGCTGCCTCCTGCACGCCCTTTACTGGGGATCGAGCCCGAAACCTGGGCACGTGCCCTGACCAGGAATCAAACCTTGACCTCCTGGTTCATAGGTTGAAGCTCAACCACTGAGACACCCCAGCCGGGCTATTTTTAAAATATTTTAAATGAATATAGCAATTTAAATATATATAAAAGTCGAGAAAAAAATCAAACACATGCTAATATTTTGCTTCATTTTGCCTCTTTTTCTTCTTTTTTTCAATATAAATAAAAATATAACTACAGGTCTATGAATTTTCACAAGTTGAACACAGCTCCCAAATCAAGAAAGAACCTTTCCAGCACCCCTAGAAACACCCTAGTGCCCTCTTTAAGTCACTGCCCTCCTTCCTAGAGTAACCTTATTCTAACTTCTAATACCCAGATTAGTTTTGATTTAGTTTTATATAAACAGAATCATATTGTATATACTCTTGTGCCTGACTTCCTTCACTAAATATTACTGTGAGATACATTCATTTTGTAACATTTAGTTATAGTTCATTCTCATTGTATAGTCTTTCATTATGTCAGTATACTAGATTTTTGAGTAGTTCCAGTTTTTAGCTATATGAGTAATGCTGCTTATGTATATTCTCTCTTTTGATGAGCACATGTATGCATTTCTGTTGGATATATACATTAAGTAGAATTGTTGGGTTAGAGGGTAGATCATGTTCACTTTTGGTAGATATTGTCAAAAGATCCCCAAAGTACACTGCCAGTGTGCCTCAGTCAGTTAGAGCATTGTCCCGAGCACCAAATGGTCGCAGGTTCAATTTCAGTCAGGTCATATACCCAGGTTGCGGGTTCAATCAATGCTTCTCTCTCACATCAATGTTTCTCTCTCTCTCTCTCTCTCTCTCTCTCTCTGTCCCTCTCCCTCTCCCCCTCCCTCTCTCTCTTCCTTCCTCTCCCTCCCTTCCTCACTCACTCACTCCCTCTCTCTCCAAATCAATAAAAACATATGCTCAGTGAGGATTTAAAAAATAATAAAGAATTTTTTTTAAAAAGGAAAGAAAGAAAATCCAGCCTCACCCCCAATATATAGTAGGAAAAGGGAGGAGGATTTTATGGTCTCATTCGATACTTGTGGCTGTTCTGATACTACACCAAAACTGAGCAAGTGGTAGTTTCTTAAAGATTAGTTAACAGTGTGGCATCTGAAACTATATCCATGGTTTTTCATACTCTTACATTAAAACCTATTGATATTTTCACCCTAGCTGGGTTGGCTCAGTGGATAGAGCGTCAGCCTGCAGACTGAAGGGTCCCAGGTTCAATTCTAGTAAAGGGCACTTACCCACGTTGCAGGCTCGATCCCCAGTAGGGGTATGCAGGATGCAGCTAATCAATGATTCTCCCTCATCATTAATGTTTCTATCTCTCCCTTCCTCTCAGAAATCAATTTTTTAAAAAAAAACCTATTGATATTTTGGAAAATACTGGTTCACTGAGTTATGGAGATCTTCCAAATATTGGCACATTACATTATACAATATTTTAAAAATAACAGTCCTGGCCAGGTAGCTCAGTTGGTTATAGCATCATTGGATACACCAAGATTGTGGGCTTGATCCCCAGTCAGGGCACATACAAGGACTAGCCAATAAGTAAGTGGAACAACAAATTGATGTTTCTCTCTTTCTCTCCCTCTCTCAAATTAATAAAGATATTTTAGACAATTTTTGGTGTCACCACTGACATTGTCAGAAAAGTCTTCTAAGTATTTGGAAGACCAGATGTCGGCCCCTGAGTAGCTATCAGGCTATCAATGGTAGTTAAATGTTTTTCAAAATTGTAATTTATTCCTGGAAGCTCAAATTTTATCAAACACTGTCAGTTGTTTTTCTTGACATGACAGGCTCACTTCGTTCATCTTTAGGAAATATCTGCCAAATATCCAACACGGGTAACATAACTTGTCTGTCAGTTGTTCTTTCCAGAAAAATGTGGTCCATGAAAAAAAATGGCTAGTTCAGCTCACAACTCAAACTATCTCATGAGTGGTTATCTTCAAGACAACCATCATACTGTGACATGACCAGAATTGCTTTATGAATATGTCCTATTTCATCAATCCAGAACATTAAAAAGGCATGTTCTCAAGGTTTGAAGTTTTTAAAAGTTAATAATGTTTACTGTGGTTCAGCTGGAGTGACTCAGTTGGTTGAGAATCATCCTGTGCACCAAAAGGTTGCAGGTTTGATTTCTGCTGCAGGTACCTACCTGGGGGGTTGTGGGTTTGATCTCCAGTAAGTTAACCAATTGATCTCTCTCTCTCTCTCTCTCTCTCTCTTTCTCTCTCTTTCTCTCTCTTTCTCTCTCTCTCTAAGCATGTCCTCAGATGAGGAATAAAAAATAATCACAATAATACTGTTTACTCAGGCTTTTTTTATATATTTTTTTTATTTCAGAAAGGAAGGGGGAGAGAGAGAAACATCAGTGATGAGAGAGAATCATTCAATCAGCTTCCCCCTGCATGCCCCCTACTGGGGATTAAGCCCACAACCCGGGCATGTGCCCTGACCGGAATCGAACCCGGGACCCTTAAGTCCACAGGTCAATGCTCTATCCACTGAGCCAAACCAGCTAGGGCTACTCAGACATTTTTAAGTGAAACTGGTTTGTCTGTTTTTTAACCAAGAGTACATGGTGGGAAGAATACAATAACTACTAGTAAGTTTGGAGTCGTTGTCCTGATTCATGCTAAGTCATGAGCAGTTTTACCACCATTTCTTTTGCAACATCAGTGCAAATGTCATGGCACTGAAAAAGGTAGCATGTAAGTATTATTTTGAAAATAGTTTTGAACTTACATACTTTCAGGGGTCCATGGACCACACTTTGAGACCTCTACCTATACTAACCTTATATTAGTTTATATTTTATATGTAGTACTTATGCTGTGTCAGAGTTTTAAATGCTGTATAAATATTTTCATTTAATGCTTATTAAGAAAGATGTTATTATTTCTCATGAAGTAGGTATTATTATTGCCCCATATTACAGATAACTGAGTAAAGAAGTTAAATAAGTTGCCCCAGGTCACACTGCTAATAAGGGCAGAGCTGAGGTTAAATTCATGCATTCTGACTCCAGAGTCCATGCTCTCATCCACTGTGCTTTTCTTGAATGTCCCTCTCACCTCAGGGCTTTTGTACATAGTGCTTCCCTCTACCTGAAGCACTCAACTCAGTGCTTTTATATCTATTACCTGAAATACTCACCTGAATCCCAACCCCACTTTCATTTCAATTGTGTTTTACTTCCTCGGGGAATTCTCCCCTTATCTCCCTAGGTTCCCTTTCTTATATTCTTTCATAACATCACTTGCCTGTTATTACTTAGTACTTACCACAGGTACAATTTTATATGTATTTGTGAAATGTTAGACTAAATTCTCATTCATTCTCTCTCTCTCTCTCTCTCTCTCTCTCTCTCTCTCTCTCTCATGTGTATAGGGATTTTGTGTGTGTTTTTGCCCAGTGCCTAGAACAGAGCCTAGTGTATGGTAGATATTCAGTAGATAATTGTTGAATAAGTGGGTAAAAGAGTAGAGAAATGAATGAATAGAATTCATTTGCTGTTCTGTTTTATGGATCTATTTATTCCTTTAAATCACACCCTTAAGTTGTTTTAGCTTTATGGTTTTATATTGGATATAAAAATTCTATATTTATATTAGATATATGTAGAGAAGTCTAGCTTCCATCCCTGCCCTCTGCTCTGTTACTTTCCACATAGGTAACCATTTTTATTGATCTGTCTTTGGTTTTGGAAAATATAACCAAATATTATATATATAAAAGGTTAAGCGACCGGCCAACCAGCCGGTAGGTATGACGTGCACTGACCACCAGGGGGCAGGTGCTCAACGCAGGAGCTGCCAAGCAACAGCAACTTTGTAGAGTGCCCTCTTGCACTCCAGGACCCCTCGGGGGATGTCAGACTACTGGTTTCGGCCTGATCCCCACAGGCCAGGCCAAGGGACCCCACCTGCCAGAGGGACCCCGCTCACTCCGCAGACGCCCTTCGAGCACTGGTGCCACCTCAGGTGCGGCCTGCCAGGGTGGGACCATGGGAGGTTGGCTCCAGGGCGTGTCCAGCCTCTCTCACCCAGTCCCGCCCCCCCGGCCACCTTCTAATTAATTTCAATGTGCACGAATCTGTGCAGCAGGCCTCTAGTGTCTATATATTTGTAACTCCCCTTCTTTCCCTACACAAAAAGTAGCAGACTGTGCACACTAACTTGCAGTTTGCTACTTTTGTGTAGAGAAAGAAGGGGAGGTACAAATATATAGACATATTTGTATCCTGAAGATCACTATGGCAATAAAGATCTTTCTTATTTTTTAAAACTTGCATAGTACTCCATTGTTTATTTAATCAGTTCTCTATAGTAGGATATATGATAGGATACCAAGTTTTTGCTACCTGTATTAGTGTGGTAATGAATATTCTTGTTTCATGTATAATTTTATATATTTGCTATTATATCTTTGGGAGCTCATAGGAGATTTTTTATCAGGTGTGTGTTATAAAAGCATTGTTAGGGAAGATTAAACTAGAAATGGAATGCATATTTGGATATGAGTAGGATTAGATGACTAAAAATTTAGAAGTTGTAACTGTCCTCAACACTAAGGTGATAACTGCCTGGATTTTTATTACTGCGGTAGTATTTTGTATGCACATTTCCTGCTGACCCAGGGATAGATTGCTTCATCTGCTTCCCTCCTTCTTTATTTCTAGTCATCTTTCCCCCGTTGACTCTCCTGGATGTGGTCTCTTCATTTTCTCTGCATATACTCTTCATCTCCCTCCATTTGCCTCTCTTTGCCAATCGTCTCATGAATCAATTCCACTTATTCATTGAAGCCATGCCTTTTGCCTTCATTAACTCTTACCTGTTACAGAACTGCCTTTTCATTGAGCACAGAAAATGAAAGCGATTTGCATTTTCAATTTTTTTCAGACTCAGAGAGTAGACCTGAGAGCAAAGATTCAACTTCAGTGCAAGATTTTTCCAAAGAAGCATCATGCCAGGTTGCAATAATAGACAGACTGACAGGAAATAGTGTCTATGATACCAACTTGAAAACAACTCTTGAATGTGAAAATTTGTTAGAGAATCAGCAAGGAAATCAGGGGAGACACTTGAGAGAAATGTTCACCTACATTAATTCACTCCCTGAAGAAAGAGCTCATGATCATGATGTATTTTGGAAAAACTTTAGTCAGAAGTCTGTCCTTCTCACTCAAGACAGAGTTCCAAAAGGATCCTATGCCTTTCATACACTTGAAAAGAGATTGAAACAGAAATCAAGTTTAAGGAAAAAGCAGAGAACCTATAAAGAGAAAAAACCTCATAAATGTAATGATTGTGGTGAACTGTTCACTTACCATTCAGTGCTTATTCGACACCAGAGAGTCCATACTGGAGAGAAACCCTATAGCTGCGATGAATGTGGGAAATCTTTTAGCCACAGAGCTAATTTAACTAAACATCAGAGAACTCATACTAGAATTCTCTTTGAGTGCAGTGAATGCAAGAAAGCCTTTACAGAAAGCTCGTCCCTTGCAATACATCAGAGAATTCACATTGGAGAGAGACCTTATGAATGTAGTGAATGTGGGAAAGGATTTAATCGAAGTACACATCTTGTACAACATCAGTTGATCCATACTGGAGTGAAGCCTTACGAATGTAATGAATGTGATAAAGCTTTTATTCATTCCTCAGCACTCATCAAACATCAAAGAACTCATACTGGAGAGAAACCCTATAAATGTCAGGAATGTGGGAAAGCTTTTAGCCATTGCTCATCCCTAACTAAACATCAGAGAGTTCATACTGGAGAAAAGCCATATGAATGTAGTGAATGTGGAAAAACCTTTAGTCAGAGCACACATCTTGTTCAACATCAAAGAATTCATACTGGAGAGAAACCCTATGAGTGTAATGAATGTGGGAAAACCTTCAGCCGGAGTTCAAATTTTGCTAAACATCAAAGAATTCATATTGGAAAGAAACCATACAAATGTAATGAATGTGGTAAAGCCTTTATTCATTCATCAGCTCTTATTCAACACCAGAGAACTCATACTGGAGAGAAACCCTATAGATGTAATGAATGTGGGAAAAGCTTTAAGTGCAGTTCATCCCTCATCAGACATCAAAGAATCCATACACAAGAGCAACCCTGAAAAATTATTAAATGTGAAGAAATGTAAGTTGGTTTTATCACTGTGTTAAATTCAAGAGTGTTTAGGTGGAAGAACCTTAAAATGCTGCTTACAGACCAATTTGTATACATCTGATTTTACTTGCATAGTACATACATATTTTTGAGCCATAAACAAAATGTTCCTTATATCCATTGATTTAATAATTATGAAAGCTACTAGCCAGAGACTTCATATTTTGAGCCCTAATCCTTCTCTAATACCTTTTTTGTGGATATTCAAGAAATCCTTAGCAATACAATCATTGTAGAATCCATTTTCTCCCTCTTTGTAAGGAAGTTCTTATTTGTTAGGTTAGGCAGAGGGTTCATATCCTTATCAGGAAGATACAGAGTTGTTCCTCTTTGAATCCAAAAATAGAGATCCAGATTTATCGATAGTATCATTTTTCCAGTGTCATTTCCTTTATGTTAGCTATAAAAAGCTAAAGGTTAAGAGTTGAAATATGCTTTGTATTCCTTCCCTACCCCAAAGGCTACTCTCAAATTTGATGAACATAAAAAGAATTTATTTACAGCAGGTTCAAAGTTAGATTCACATGGATTCTGCTTGTAGACTTACTGGTAGATAATTGTGGTCATTCTGCTGTGTAGAACTTCATTTTCTACTTCCTTGGAAGTTGCCCTGAAGTAGAATGGGTCAAAATCTTAACTCTAGTTTTTGATCAGATCCTTCTTTTCTTATCTTTGGCATTCACTGAATGAATCATTGGTTTTCTATAATTACAGTATTAGGGATATTTTGTTCTTTACATTCTGCTTTCTGTAAACTATGCTTTGTCACTTTGAGAAAAAGCCACAAGGATGTTGAGGGTCTGAAAAGTTGATGGGTTCAATGTGTTATGTTTAGGATCCCAGTCAAGAAACATAACTGAAGCACCTGTGAGACTCAAGGACATATCTTTCTGTCAGATATGGAAAGTCGCTCACAGGACAATGACTCACTTGAGGATAAACAGCTTTCCTGTATGAAGAAGTTGGCCATTTCTCTGACCTTCATGTTTACCCACATGGTTTGTTCCTATTCTCTCTACATGATGTATCCCAGAATCCTAAAGAAAATTGAAATGGCATGAAATCACATGATATATTGACATACATGGGTGACCAAAGACCACTAATGGGATAAGGAACACAAAACCACTCAAATATCTAGCAAAACACTATACAAATGTCAGGTTTTTTTGTTACTCTGTTACATATTGTGTGAAAAGAAGATTTTAAAGTAGAGGGAAAAGTAGTTACAGATTTCTTCTTCCCTTCTAAATTCTTTTATGAACATTCAGCACCACCAGTCCATGTTTTGCCCCCTCCAAATTATCCCTGTGACGTGTAATTGCCTCTCTGTAGACTTCTATTATTGAAGAAGACTAGGAGAATAAAATTTTAAAAAGTGGTGGTAGTAGAGAGCAAGATCATTAAGGATGGATTGAGCATAAATCCAGCAATGATGGATATCAAACAATATGAAAGAAATGGGGCTGAAAAATTCTTGTAAAGAATTTTAAAAAACACATTGAAAGGGGTTGAAAAAATTGGGAAGGCTCAAGGTCTCAGAGGTCAGGGTAGGAGAATGGCTGATGAGCAAAATAAAGGAAAGGGAGCTCAACCCTTTTCATCACTTTAATATTCAATATTGATCTAAAGCAGGAATTGTCAAACTGGCCTGCACCCACAGACCAAGTTCATCTGCTATTTCTGTGAATGTTTAATTGGAATACGGCCACACACATTCATTTACATGTTTTGTTTGGCTATTTTATACTATAATGGCAGAGTTGCGTAGTTGCAGCAGAGAGCATATATCCTGAAAAATCCTAAAATACTTGCTATTTCTCAATATGCCAAATGCTTGAGTGAAAAATGCATCATTTGGGGGCCAAAATTTGACTAACAAAATAACATCAACATGGGCTTTTCAAAGCTGGGTTTTAATTCTGCCATCTCTGTTTAGAATTATGTGGCCTTGAAAAGGACCTGGAACAATAAATTATATAGAGTCTCCTCTCTCCCTCTACCACACCCTCTCTCGATATGTGTACACACACACACATATTTTAATGAAGTGATGTCTTAGTTCATTTGGGCTGCTATACAACATTCAATTATCACAGTTCTGGAAACTAGGAAGTCCAAGCTCAAGGCCCTGGCAGATTCCGTGTCTGATGTGAAAGGGCAGGGGGATCTCTGGGGCCTCTTTTATAAGGGTACTGACCCCATTCATGAGAGCTCTGCCATCATAACCTAATTACCTTTTAAAGGCCCCCATCTCCTAATACCATCACTTTGAGGTTAGGTTTCAATGTGAATTTTTGAGGGGACACAGACATTCAGTCTATAGCAAGTAGCTAAGCATCCATCAGAAATTAAGAATGAGCATCTCCCACCCCTTCCATTTGCTGATTAAGAACTGTACGCATCCTGCTATCAGCTCATGATAGAGAAGGGGCTTCACTTTCTACTCTTGCTTCTATCTGGTACTGGACCTACACACTTCCCTTTAAACCTGGAGGAATCTGCTTTTTTGCCTTCTGAGTACCACTTAGCCAGGAGCTATCTGCTAGTTCCAAAGACTCAAGTTTGTAATATAAAGGCAGTTTAAGTGATGTTAAAGGATTTGCTCTGTTTTACTGAGAACTCTGGCCCTTTGCATTCCAGTGTTTGTTCTTTTTATACCTGGTGTTCAATCTGACTGTGTGTTTGTACCTTAACATGAATCTTGGAAGTTTTAGCAGTCTGCTTTACAAATATTTTTTGTTACCTATAAACTAAATTTGACTGCTCTTATTGGCCCACTGTCAATAAAGATGTTTATATATTTATTGTCAGAAACTTTTGTAAATTGCTTTTAAATTCTCCTAATTTAATCATATTTTAAGAGATAAAGAAAGGCCAACCATAAAATATACCCATATTATTCAGGAAACCAATTACATTTCTAATTGTTCATCTGGGCTTCACAACTTCTGCAGACATAGATCCGGGAATACCCACCACAGCCCACGTATTTGCTGGAAGGTTAAAGAGTAGAGGAAGGATGTTTTTGTCAAAGAGTCCTCGGGCCAAGTACAGGCACCACACAGCAGGGGTAATAGGAGGAAAAGAGAGGAAAATTAATTTCATATAAAAAATACAGTTAAAACTAGGCAAGATAGGGTAAAAAACTGATTTAGTGTAAATTTTAAATTACGTCTGGCTTTTAAGAAGATAGTGTAATGTCACCCAAACGAATAAAAATGGTAGTATAAGAATACCAAACATTCAAATTATTGGCAATTAACTAATTTAGTTATCTATTAAAATTGTTTTATTTTCTCAGATGAATTTTCACTTTTTAAAGAAATATTACAATAGGACTTGGGTTGGAACCTCTTTGTCCATGCTTTCTCCCTTTCCTTACCTAATTCTTTTTTAGGCCCCAACTGGGCAGTCTTGGGATCCAGAGCCAAATGAGCTATCCCTCACCCTTTGCCTTATATTAATTGTCAAGGCAAAGGGTGTTCTGTGTTGTATAATGTGACATCTATGTGATTACCTTGTAGTTCCAATTAATGTCCTCAAAAAATTAAAATTTTTCATTGAATTGTTCTTACATTTTCCAAAGTGTGTAATCTCTTATTTTTTAACCTTTTACTTAGCAGGGGTAATAGCAGGTTCATCCATAAACCAGACAATCTGCCCTTAGATTGAGTTGACTGTACATAAAATGTTCATACCTCACCCCCAGCAGTTCATCCATAGTACATTATCATCACGTCAGAAAAGGAACCAGGCTTCCTCAGAGAAATGGCTGATCCTAAGTCTGAGTGAAGGCAGTTGCAATAAGAGCCTGAAACATCATGTTCCAGAAAATAAGGTGGTACTAAAAGAATGATGACAGTAGGTCACAGAGGCAAAGGAGCCAATTTGAACTAGCCTTCACTAACCAAGTCTGGGATAATTTGAGCACCAAAACAGTTAAGGCAGTAATGAATTATTAAACCAGTGTGGGGGGGAGGGGAGGAGCAGTGCATGAGTTTACATTGATAATTAGAAGTAAATAAACAAGGGAGAATAGAGGGCCCTTGCTTACAGCAGAATGCCAGATGCAAACTGGCAAAAAATGATGCTGAAAAATCACTATTTTGCAGCCATCACAATAAGATTCTGACAAAAATCATCAATCGATATAAATCTAAGGGGAAATTTTGATGAGGAACAGGATATTTGCATAGTATTGGGGTATCTTCACCATAGGTTGCTTGTTACAATTGACAATTGCAAGGAAAAAATAATTATGTAGTAATAATTTTAAATTATTATATAATAGCCCTGGCTAGTGTGGCTCAGTTGGTTGGAGTGTTGTTCTGTACACCATAAAGTGGTGGGTTTAATTCCTGATCAAGGCACATACTAGGGTTGCAGGTTCAATACCCGGTCTGGTCACATATGGGAGGCAATCAATCTCTCTCTCTCTCTCTTGTCTTTCTCTCTCTCTTCCTCTCTCAAATCAATAAAAATATATCCTCGGATGAAGATTTGTTACGGCCAAAGGTGATCCTGAGGGGGGGGGGGGGGGAAAGGATTGAGAAAAGACAGACAAGAGAATGAAAGCTGGGTCTCGGTGGGACGCTGCTCCCTGATGAGGAGACAGCGCCAGCGCCCACAAGCCGTGTCTTTATTTTATAGCAGATGCCACGAGGCAAAGTAGGGGCGTGATCAAGTTGTTTACAGCATTCTCGTGAGTTTCAACCCTGCTTAACTACATGCACCTGAACTCTAGCACAAGACACATGGGGCCACATGTTTGGACCATAGGTTCAAGCTTACAACTATAGCTGTTGGCTATAATTGTGCTGGGAGGGCCATGCCCTCCAGCTGGGACTTGCACGTGGCAATGAGAGGACCCTGTCCTTTCATTGGTCCGA